CTATGGTTTTTCCTGTGGTCATGTATGGATGTGAAAGTTGGACTGTAAAGAAAGCTGAGCACAGAATTGATGCTTTTGAACTGTGGTGATGGAGAAGACTCTTGAGAGTCCCTTGGACTGCAAGGAGATCCAACAAGTCTATCCTAAAGGAGATCAGCCCTGGGGTTCATTGGAATGACTGATGTTAAAGTTGAAACTCCAATATTTTGGCCATCTGATGCGAAGAGCTGACTCATTTGAAAAGACCCTGATGTTGGGAAAGATTGAAGAGAGGAGGAGAAGGGGATGACAGAGGATGAGATGGTTAGACGGCATCACCGACTCAATGGACATGAGTTTGGGTAAACTCTGGGAGTTGGTGTGGACAGGGAGGCCTGGTGTGCTGCAGTTCATGGGGTCGCAAAGAGTCAGACACGACTGAGCGACTGAACTGAACTGAAATATTTATGGAGTTAGTATATATTTGTTGAATGACTGAAAGAAAAAAGTGGCCCATAGACCATAGAGGCAGGTAAAGTGCACAATTTTCCCTAGAACAATCCAAATGAGAAACAGGAATGTGATTATTGCTCAAATTGGACTATGTGGGTCGAGAATACCATGAGCACAGTCTGAGTGTCCAGAAAATCCTACAAAAGGATTCTCATATCAGTCTGGAAATGACAAAAATAGAGAAGACATAAATGTATTGTTTCATTGATTTTCATTTTTTATTGAATTATGTTTGAATATGTTTTGGAAATTTATTCTCCTCATCCATTTCTCTGAAAATTTTTCTTCTTCCTACTCTTCCTTGCCTGTTGACCCACTTTTTCTTCTCTCTTCCTTGTCTTCCCTACTGTGTATTTTTTCTTATTGTGCTAGTCATTGGACAAATTCATCTTTACCAACAAACAAAAGTTAGATGGTCTGATGAACACTTTCTGCCTGATACAGAAAGTATCATACAGGATGGCTGGATGGCATCACCAACTCCATGGACATGTGTTTGGGTAAACTCCGGGAGTTTGTGATGGACAGGGAGGCCTGGCATGCTGCGATTCATGGGGTCGCAAAGAGTCAGACATGACCGAGCGACTGAACTGAACTGAACTGAACAGAAGAGTTTTAAACTGAAGCTCCAAGTGAAAAGGTGGGGTGGGGGGTGGGGGTGGGGTCGTGGGGTACACACTGTGTATGCAGTTATTATGGATTTCCCTGGTGGCTAAGATGGTAATGAATCTGCTTGCAATGCAGGAGACCTGAATTTGATCCCTGGGTTGGGCAGATCCCCTGGGGAAGGGAATGGTGACCCACTCCAGTATTCTTGCCTGGAGAAGCCCATGGACAGAGGAGCTTGGCAGGCTATAGACCATGGAGTCATGAAGAGTTGGACATGACTGAACAACTAAGCATGATTCAGTATTGAGTCTCTTGCATCAATCTACCTGCTATGGGAAGGAATTAGCCAAGAAGTTGTTCATCTTCTCAAGATCAGGAATGTTTTTCAAGCCCTCACCTCCAAGGAATTCCTTTACAGTCATTCTTGGAATTTGAACTGAGTTTACCTCAACATTTCTATGTTATGTCCTCTTTTTCCTCCTTTTTATTTATCCATCCATTTGTTTATTCAACAAGCAATCAATGAACATTTATGGAGGTCATATTTGGAAGATTGTATTTGTACTTGGGATACAAGCTGATAACACCCAGTGTCAAAAGCTGTGGGGAAGGGATAGTGTGATCTAGGGTCTACAATGAACAGCTGTGCATTCATTCACTCCACTGGCTTGAACCTAAATGGAAACTGACTGGAGGTAGCCTTTTCAAATTAATTATATGTAATGAAGACTCTCTGACACAAGATGAGTCAATATAAACTGTTTAATCTAGGTGAGTGCCTATGATGGTTTGTTGATCTTATTGCAGGAGTAGATTCTCTCTCTCTGCCCTGCTAGTGGCTACCTTGACCTTCACTGCGGATTGGATGTGGAACAAGGGCTTTCAAGATCAAGAGTCTCCTGCCACAGACTCCACATTCCAGTGTCAGGGAGAGGAAGGTCAGCAGGCACTGCTGCAGCAGAGTGCAGCATTACTAATTATGAAAGCTGGGGCTTTATATTTGGTAAACCCAAGTGTGTTGACCCTAAATGTGTTTAGTGCACCTGCTGGCTCTGCTACTCCAACTTGCCTGGCTGGACACTTTACCTCTATCACATCAGGCACATCGGGCAACCCCAATACGCTGATATGGGTAAGATGTGGCACCCTTCAGTGGATGTAGGCAGCTCTTTTAGGCTGGTACTTATTAGTACCATCTTATTAGATGTTGTGGCCAGAACTGGGCCTTAGACTAACAGTTTATGGATGTGTGCACACACACTAAGTGGATTTAAGTTATTTTATTTCTTCTAACAAAAAAATGCATTTAAATAATGAATTCCTTATGGATTTCAGGCAAAGTAGGAGAGACAGTTGACGCATATGTGCTCAGTCTTTTCCTACTCCGCGACCCCATGCACTGTAGCCCACCAAGCTCCTCTGTCCACGGGATTTCCGAGGCAAGAATACTGGAGTGGGCTGCTATTTCCTTCTTCAGGGGATCTTCCCAATCCAGGGATCAAATCCACATCTCCTATGGCTCCTGCAATGGCTGGCAGATTCCTTACCACTGAGCCACCTGGGAACCCCGAGATACTTAATTTCAGGTGGCCATTCTCATCTTCCCTGAAGTGTACCTATTTCAAAGGTATATTACCTTCTTTGTTCAGTTTAGCCCAAACATGTGAGCTGGTGATAAGATTGCTATCTCTCTAGAAAAGATTAAGTTCAAGAGTTTTAGCTGAGCTTAAGAGTTTAGCTAAGATTTTTTTTAAAATGCTTCCAGTTTAATATAATTTTATGTACATCCTTCCAAATTTTTTCCTTTTCATTTTCAGTCATTATGCTGAGATAAATGTATTCTACATCTTGCTTTTAATTTATGGAGAACACATCAAAATGTTTCTGAAACATTTAGTAAAATATCAGATGATCTTTCTGATTAAAAAAAGGGATTTATTTAAAGTCTAAAATTCAGGAAGTTGACTTACCAAAGCTAAACATACTATAATTTTAAAAGTTTAGGATTGCTTCAGAATGTGAAATTAATAAATAACAAGGAGTACCTATAATTTAGAAAAATATACCGTCTCCCCTTTATTTCTTTTATACTATTTTTATGAAAATGATAGAAATGTACAGAGCAAAATAGACCCTTTCATTCTTAAAATCTTCTCTTTTTTTCTGTGTGTTTATAATTTGGAACCATTTAAGGTAGCATTTCTCAGAGTGTGGAACACAAGACCCTCAGAGTGTGTTTCAAGGAACAGAAGACCTTCAAGACTGCCCCAAAAGGTACCTCACCAAACCAAAGCTTTCTCATTAACTAAAGGCAGAAATGTCTGGGAGACTCACGGTGAGATGGTAATGCAACCTGGAGGCCCTGTAAGAACGGAAGGTAATGAAAGAATGTTCTTAAATTTATCTACCCCAGCATTGCCTGCTTTGCAAGTATATCTGTTAATATCCATGGATTATACGTTGGGAAATACTGACCAAGTTTTTCCTAGTTATTTAACCATTAAATATTTTTCCTCTTCAGAGAAGATAGGCAGTATAATTAGATATTTGGATTTTGGACTCAGACTGAGTCCTAACTCCAATTCTGTGACCTTGAGCAAATGACTTAACCTCTTTGAATGTCAGTCTTTCTGTCTCTAAAATGGGCATTGTAATAGTACCAATCTTATGGAGTTGTTGGTAAGACAGCTCTTCTTTAAAGTACCTAGTACACTGCCTGGCATGCAGAAAGCTCTCAAATTTTTATATTTGTGATTGTACTGTTACTATTAGAGAAGGCTTGGGTGTATATACATCTTAGGTACTCACAACAATGGGAGTCAATTATTGTTATTTTCATCATCTTGACCTTTTCATATATAGGCAATAGGTTTGGGCAGATAACAGATCTTTCCAAAAGGCCAAGTTTTGCATCTGGATTCTGCTCCAAATGTCATCTACCATACTCAAGGTTATAAGAATTCAATCTCACTGAGACCAGATTGTTTAACATAGTTTAGTTATCTAAGCTAACAAGTTTATCTTCCGTATCCTTCTGTCCTTTCAACCCATTCCCTTTCTCTTTTTTTATTTTTAAGCATTTCAGCTCCAGTATTGCTTTGATTAATGTCTCATGTTTCCTTCTCTCTTTTATCCAGCATCAACTGATTTATGGTGACCTGGCCATGTTTTGTTAATCCACCAATTCAAGAAATATTTACTGAGTACTTACATGGTCCCTGAATTTATGTATCATACTGAGCACCGAATTCTAGGATCTAGCTTTGGCAAAAGACAGAATCTGAATGCTTACATGAGGGGAAAAAAATGAAAAGAAAACACAGCTTCTTTAGCAAGTTACCTTTAAAATAGCTGAAATTCAAGAAGCGCTTTGACTAGGAGCGAGAGATTGTGCACACAGGGCACAATCTGAGATTGTGACTGAGATGCACGGAGATTGTGACTCGGTGGCAAAGGTTGAATTCTTCTATAACAAGCACACCTCTTTCCCAAATGCTCTCTCCCTGAAAGCTGCTGACAGAGCTTTGGCAAAAGATCATCCTCCCCTTGGCTGATAAGCTAAGCCCTGTTTTATATTTAACTCACTCCAGCGCAGGAGGGGTGGGGTGAGGGATGCGTTGTTTATAAGAGGAGCCGTGGCAATGCTCTCGTCAGCCTTCTTCCTCCAGCTCAGCCCCTCTTCTGGAGTGCTTACTCCACCCCCTTATTCCCACATTCATCCTGTGGCTAGTGGGAACGTGAAGGCAGAGGAAAGGACGCAAGAAGCCAGACAGAGGTTTACGAAAGGCGAAAGCAGACTGCCAAACCAGGGAATTACTTCCAACTGGAAAAGGGCTGCTGACGTTACTTAGTTAAATTTAACATCCTTTCATGTGTAACATTTGACTTTGGAAACAAAAATGATCTTGGAGGAGGGATCATCTTGGGAAGGCTCTAAGAGATACTGCATTAAGACGAAACATGTGGCCATTATCTGTGCAGTGGTGGTGGCTGTCGGAGTGATAGTAGGACTTTCTGTGGGTTTGACCAGATCATGTGGCTCCACAGAGACTGGACAGGGCACGACCCAGGCTCCTTCCCACCTGCCTCCCGTTACCAGCCCTCCACAGGACCAGGGGGTCTGCCCTGCCAGTGAGGATGGAAGCGGAGGCTGGAAAGATTTCCGGCTGCCGGACTTCATCAGCCCCGTGCACTACGACCTCGAGGTGAAGCCCCTGATGGAGGAGGACACCTACACGGGCAGCGTGGACATCTCCATCAACGTGAGCTCTCTCACCAGGTACCTGTGGCTACATCTCCGGGAGACGAGGATCACCAAGCTCCCGGTGCTGCGGAGGCCGTCTGGGGAGCAGGTTCAAGTCAGGCAGTGCTTCGAATACAAGAAGCAGGAGTATGTGGTGGTGGAAGCAGAGGAAGAGCTTGCGCCCAACGCTGGCGAGGGTCCCTACCACCTGATCATGGAGTTCGCCGGCTGGCTGAACGGCTCGCTCGTGGGATTTTACAGAACGACATACGTGGAGAAAGGACAAACCAAGTAAAAAAATTTTTTTTGCTTTGTTTTTCCAAAGCTTTTATCTTTGCTTCCCGTTTCTCTTCCTTTCCTCTTTTCACCTTTCAGTTATTTTCATGGCCTGATCTTTATCTAAACGTGACTGCGTTTCTGCCTGTTCCTCTGGGAAGCAAAAACGCCCTGTTGTGTTTTCAAAGCCTATCACAAAATTTGAAACTACTGAATGAGCTGCATGGAGTCCAAAAAATCAGTGTAAGTCCTTTTTTTTCCTCAGGAAAAATCATAATATACTGCATTTTATTCTTAATATTTATGTAACTACCTAAAACTTTAAAAATATATGTTTTTGGTAACTTTCACTGGTGATATTTGTGGGCTATGTGGCAATGATTTTAAGCTGAACTTTTAAAATGATATCACACTAAATTTAAGTGAAAATCAGTAAATATCAATTATAATTTTTTGTTTTATTGGAGACTGAACATTGAAAGAGTATATAAAATTCATGTTACTGTCTTTGTGTTTTCACTTAAGAAAGGTACAGCTGTGTCTTTTTCATCTCATATAGCCAGAACTATGTTTTACTTGATAAATACTCATTGAGTCCATGCATCAGTAGTAGCACATGGATAAATCTTTGGGCTTATTATCTACCATGCAGTATACAGTAGTTATGCTAAGTCTTTTGTGACAAAAAAAAATATATTAAGCAATTAAGGACATAAAAATATCCCCACACACAGAGCCCTTCAAGTATACCTGTATATATATTTGCATTTCCTGAGACAAATAGTTACTTGTCTTTCATTTAGTTAAAGGCTATTACTTAGAGCTATGTCAAAGACATAAATTCTCTCAATGAATTAAAAAAACCTTCACCCTGTGGGTATGGTTCTTGCATCAGAGAGGAAGGTTACACCTGAGGTACCACTGAACTTGAAGCTGTTTTGACGTTTACCTCCTTAGATTCTGAACAAGTGAATAATGAAGAAACCTTAAAATCTGGCAACTGAAACTAAGGTTGGCAACTAAAAACTTATAAGCAAATATCTGATAATCAATCAAACTTGGTATATACAATACAAAGTATTTACATTCTAAAAAAAAAAAGGAAAAGAAACCTTATATCACTGTTTAGAGAAAGTTTAAGGCCAGCCCTCTGAATATCCCTTTCCTATGTTGTTTGAAGCATTTTATAGAGCAAAGCAAATCTTTTGTTCAAAATGCTTCCTGTTTTTTATCAGAAAGACCAGGGATTAAAATAAAATATTTAAACATTCTTATTGTGTGGTATAGTATTAAACTGAGTAGACTAGAAATGATAGTTTGAAAAAATATTTGGAGGGATCATGTTTATATAGATAGCATATATTAATATTACTAGCAATAAAACAAGCTTCTTTATTGTTTACATGTTTTTCTGTTTATAACAATTACAAATGTTGAAAGCATAGAAATTATAAAAAGGAAAATTAAAAGAATGTATAAATAATTTCACCATCCAGTGGTAAGCTCTGTTAACATGCTAATGTATATTCTAATTTTTTTAGGTAATCAAAATTGTAATTAAATTATCTCTGCATATCTCTCCATCCATATGCCTTTTAACTGAATATATTATAAGCATTTCCCTTTATTAAATATTTACAAGAATCTGATTTTAAAGATTGAGCAATATTCCACTGCATGAATGCATTGTTATTTTTTAAAACCAATTCACTATTGCTAGACATTTGAGTAGCTTCCAGTATTTTATTACTATAAACAAGTCAGAAAGAACATAGCTGTAAGTACATTTATAAGTGTATTTACAGTGTATTTCCTTATGTTAGGATGTAGTCTGAAAAAAAAAATTGCTGGGTCAAAGTAAAAATATGTCAAGAAACTTGTAACATTTATTTTGGTTAGTTATTTCATAAAATATTAATGAGACATTCACTACAGAAAACTTGAGAATCAAAAAATTATTAGAAAAATCCATCTATAACCCCATCACTCAAGTATAGTAATTGTTAGTATTTAGGCAGATAGTTTTCTAGTCATTTTTTTCTGGACACAAACATAGCACTATTATGCTTTATATAATGTTGTGTAACATGTTTTTACAATATATCAACACTTTAACATTTATTTGGTCTTCTTCTGCACATGACTTAGTGGATACACGATAGTCCATGGTCTGAATATAATGTAACTTATTCAACTTTCCCATTAGATTTGGGCACTTAAATCAGTCCCACTTTTTTTAACCTATAAACACCTATAAAATGTAATAAACAGCCTTTTAAAAAACTAGGGATAATATTTTCTCATATTTCTATAGGAAAATTCTTAGGAAATTGGCTCAAACTATGTAGAAGGAAATGGCAACCCACTCCAGTGTCCTTGCCTGGAGAATCCCAGGGACTGGAGAACCTGGTGGGCTGCCATCTATGGGGTCGCACAGAGTCGGACACGACTGAAGTGACTTAGCAGCAGCAGCAGCATGTATGTATGAGCACACGTGTGTGTGTGTGTGTATACACACATCACATATATAACACATGTGCATGTGCTTATGTATATGTATATGACTTTCAAAAATATGTCCCAAATTACATTTCCACAAACAATTAATAAAGTACCTATTTCTCTGAGTCTCACTAACAATAAAATGGTTTAAGTGTTTGCAATTTGGGAGAGGAAAAGGAATATCTAAAGATATATCTACCTCTAAAGAACATCTACCTTCAAGAGATTCTAAAAATCTGTTAGTGTAAAGTGAAAACAAGTCAAAACTTTTAAATGATTATTGCTAAGAGTTTAAAATTGCTTCTTGGGTTGTGAAAACAACAAAAATTGCATCTGAGTAAAGCCATCAAAATACTTTATGAAAATTCTATACACTATAGGAAGGCCAAAAAATAAGGAACACAGTTCCACCCATAAGTTTCTGTTATGTATTTCATATGTATAAAAATTACTGTATGCTAACATATATTATTCATTCTGAATCTTTGGATTATTTTACCTTATGAGTTAATTTTATAATAAAATATACACTTGAGAGCTGACATTTTGAAACTTAGCTGTTGAGAAAATACTCAGAAATACTAAGTGACTGCAAGGTGGGGGGAAGGCCAGTGGTCAGTTAGGCTCCCTTGGAGGACTGGTGTCCCCAAGTTTGTCTGTTTTCATTGGTAGCAGTTGAGGCTCTCACATTACACAGGATGCAGCCAGTTCTGTACTGCATTCATGATTTTGGAACGATTCTGGCACATACTCAGTAACCTCATTTAGGCTCAATGGAATACTTTTTGTTTTTCTTATTATGAAATATTTCAAGCGTATGAGAAAAGTGTATTGTTTTCTTTCTTTTCTTTCTTTCAATAATGTTTTGACAATGCAGGTCTCCAGTGGGTTTCATACAAAATGCAGAGAAGAGCCACAAGAGTTCAGGGGGAATAGCACCATTCTTTCATAGCATATAGTGAACTTTGTAATATTTGATGCTTATACAATTTCAAATGCTATCAGAGTAATACATTTTTGTGTATACTGTCAAGATTATATTTTCTAGCTTTTCTGCCTTATTGTAAAATTAACTCTGGGATCGAGTATGTGTGGTATGGGATATTACTGTTGGATCCACAGTGCAAACTAAACATAAGTGCACTCAATAATAACTAAAATTACTTGATTTCTGTAAATACAATGGAGACTTGGACTTCACAGAAAGGAGACAACTGTCTGAGCTTCTTTCCGTCAAAATTCAGAGGCAAGAAGAAGGTAGAAGAAGAAGAAGGTAGAGCCAGTTCAGAGTTCCCTAGCTATAATAACCATACTATCTCACTGGGGACAGAGCTGTAGTGAGGCTTGGGAGGAGAAGGTTTGAGAAACTTAACAGCTACTTTTTCTACCATCTGGTCTGTTCCTTTGGGTCTGAGGAAAACCACTTCAAAGGACTGAAACCTTTGGAATGATTTCCGGCCCACACCACTAAACCCTCTTAACACTCTCAACAGTTACACAGGATTCCCAGTTATTCTCTTCTCAGAGTTCCCCTCTACTCACCTCTTCAGCATTTCCTTCTCTACATCTGGATTGCTCTTACACAGCATTTCCTAATTATCTGTTCCACAGAGTTCTAGTTGCATGAAGGCATTAATAGATATTGCCAGAAAAAAGCAGGGGAATTATTCTGTGGCCAAAGTTGTTTGGGAAATAATACTGAATACAAAATGATTTTTTTTTTTAATGGTGGGACTTTTCAGAGACTTTTATATGATAAAGTTCATGACAAACCTCTAGAAGCGGCCATAGTATGCAGTTTCCCGACCACATGACCGTGGAATCGTCTGTGGTCCCTGAGTGGGGTCTCTGTGTCTCTCTTGTTCACTACCTAGCCCACAGAGAGAACCTAACTATTACTGAATGAATGTATAGAGGCATTTTCACGTAGGCTCTCACATAACTAATGTGCTCTGGCAAATTCTGGGACCCACTGCATCGCCACAGCTCCTTTCCTGTAAAGGAATCCGGTTTCCACCACCGACACCTTCACTTCCCCACTAGGCATGGAAAACTTCTTTTGGTTCTTTTTCTCCCCATCTCATGTCAAAGGCAAGAGGAGCTGGTAAAAATCTCTTTTTTTGACTTAGGAGTGCCATCTTCTTACTTTAAGGGCTGACAATCATTGGAATTGATAGGAATTACAACAAGAACTTAAAGAAGGACAGACAGTTTTCAGTTTGGGTTTTCTGGGGTTTTGGCAGAGGATGAGACAGGTAGTATCAGTGATTCAATGGACATGACTGTGAGCAAACTGTGGGAGACAGTGAAGGACAGGGGAGCCTGGCGTGCGGCAGTCCATGAGGTTGCAAAGAGTTGGACACAACTGAACAACAACAGTATTGCTGGGATTGAAGCTGAATTTTGATGTAATGGTGGGATTTCAATAGGCAGAGACAGGTAATAAGGTAAAAGCAGGCAAAAAGGAAAGGCACTAAGTCAAAAAAGCAGATTAAGGAGAAGAAATACGTTTG